TAAAAAATATGTTTATTATTTGTTGTGCAGATATTCATTAAACAAAACAAAAACATCAACTATCTAATTCTTTGGCAATATGTTTTCTTCACATTTGACTAAAGTCAAGATAAAACAACATTTCTTTTTCTTGGAAGTAAATCTTTTAAGAAGTATTGCTCTTGATATTTTGTCAGCGGGAGGTCAGCAGGGAGCTGTTTGGTTACAAAGATTTATATGATTGGATCAGTCACCTGATGCCTTTAATTGCCAATGTCCAGTATCTTAAATGGCTGAACACATGGTAGGGAGTCTCAAGCAGTAGAGTAGGGCCCAATATAACATTTCCGTAGTTTTCCTTATGAAATATCTGTATTAAAATCTATACTCGGGACACTAAGCGAGAAAGGAAGTGCTTAGATGAATATTACAATTAAACGTGGAAATAGGATGTATTCTTCGACATCATGAAGAAGAGAAACTTAACAATATTTTTCGTAGATTGTTTCAGACAGTATCTCTTCTTAATAAAAAAAAAGTATTGGGTACAGATTAGTATTACTACAACAAGTAATATTTCGTTTTACAATATATTCAAATTAACAGTATTTATACTACTTGTAAAAAATGATACTGGAGTATTTTTTTTTCTTTGAGTGTAGATTGGAGAAAGTCCCTAAGTGACGATATATCCATTTCCTTTGAAGTGTTGTCAAGACTATTGTTGGTAAGTTTCTCACCAGGGGGTTACACACGGGAACAAGTATATCAAAGCGGCTTGAAGTTCTTATTTTTCGTATTTTTTTTCTCTCTTTTGCAAGAACGGCTTTTTATCGTTAATTCAGTAAGAATTGCAGTCCCGTGGTTGCATTTAAGAAATCGGTTGTTTTCGTTCAAGTGAATTTTTATTTGCTGCTGGCTGTAAATGAAATCCGTAAATTTTGTTTCACATTTTCTGTTCAATAAGATGTTGTTTTGAAAAATCAAAACGGCAGACTTATTTATTTTTATTGTTATCCAGTTAGGCTTGTTTTACTTCTAAACAGAATTTTATTTGCTCCATCAAAATAGAAATATATAAAAACAAAAATACAACATAAGCGTTACTCTGCATTGTGTACCTGAGAAATGCATCTTTTCTAGATAAAAATCATTAATGTTATGTACAAACATTCATAGAGCCTACACAAAACGAGCTTTTTGGAGGACGATCATTTTTTAAAACCTGCTAACAAAATTCTGATTATCTTGTTGCCAACTACTGAATTTTGTATATCATTTAAGTCAAGGAGGTAAATGAATTACAGCATGTGTTTATTGTAACATAATCAAAACTAAATACAACTGCATTTCTGTAGACACGATTGCATAAAGAATTTCAACACATGCTAACTATTATATTTTTTCTATCTTTGTATCATATATCACAGGAATAGAAACGTTAATATATATAAGTTTAATTTTGTCAAGGATTAATATACTATGGCGTATGACCTTTTATTTTCGTTTCCTTAGTCTTAGTAAAATAAAATATTTTATAGTACAGTAGCGCTCAGTACAACCCCCTCCCTTCCCACGCCCAAATACACTCGCACGAAATATTTATTTTAAATTTGAATTATTATTGGTGCTCCAGTAATTTGCTTTTATATATTTTACTGCTCAGAAAAAGATTATCAGGTTAAACAAATTTGCTAATCATTAGTTGTTATTTAATCAAATAAAGAAATGGCTTAAACAACTCGAACGATTCGTAATAGTGCAGGAAAAGTGTTAAAATTTATTCAACAATAGTGCGGGAAAACTGTTAAAATTTATTCAACAATAGTGCAGGAAAACTGTTAAAATTTATTCAACAATAGTGCAGAAAAACTGTTAAAATTTATTCAACAATAGTGCAGAAAAACTGTCAAAATTTATTCAACAATAGTGCAGGAAAACTGTTAAAATTTATTCAACAATAGTGCAGGAAAACTGTTAATATTTATTCAACATACTTTGTTTACCTGAACATTGGTAATATTTCTTTTGGTTCCTGCACTTTGATTCTTTAATAATTACATAAAAAGTTTAAAAAATAATTATTTTTCTCTACTTACCATTCAGTAAATCTACATACTCTCTACCTCCTAGTAATAATTCTGTAACACCGAGAGATGGTGTGCGTGTCGATTCAGAGGCAAAGTAATCTTATGTCGTGTTATTTCAGGTAATCTATATTCCTACGAACTTGACCAATAAAACATACATTCTGGACGTAGAGGCTGTTAGTTTCTTTGTGTTAACAGTTATGTCGAATAATCATATATCATATCTCCTTTATAGAGAATGAATCTTTGCATACAAAACTTATTACACGCAGTTTTATCAAACACTGTGCTAATAGTATTTACTGTAAGATTGGCTGATAATGTTTGAAGAGTAGAGAATAGCGATTTCGTCAATGATTCCTTTTCTTCAGAAACTCTTCTAGACCTCGTGGACCCAAGGACTACTTGAACCACATAAGCGTTATTTGGTCTTTAATGGTATAGTGAAAACATTCTATTTCAGAAGTTTGTAAGATCAAAATATTTAGAATCGCTACCTGAGAATACTTAATGGTTATTCACCATTAAACTTACCTTAAAAAGTTGATCCCTTCCCTTTTCCAGCAAATACTAACCTAAATGATTGAAACGTACAGAAACTTGGTTTTCAGAAAGAAAAGACGTATATGTCTTGTACAAATTCGATCTACAACCACGTACATATTCTTTACATTCATTTTATTCTCGATCTTCCTTCATAATAGTTATCGTACGTATAAAAATATTTTCTATAAATTACTTCAAATTATATTTTAACTTCTGACCTTGTATTTTTGCTGTTTCTTATTTTGTTTTAGTATTTAATCCCAATCCATTAGTAATATTTTTGATTATACCATTCTATTTTATAATAGTCTTTACTCTCTACATTGAAGAACCCCCACCTTTTGATACAGTAAACTCCGAGTCTGAAAACCAACCCATTTAATATAACGGCCTTTATATTATATACATTGCACTTTCTCAAATGATGACCTTCTTTCCAGAGATTACCGAAACCTACTCTTGGTATAACAATCTACACTATTTCTTGATAATAACCTTTATTACAGAAATTATCGAATTCTACACTTTGATATAATTACCTCTTCTTTCTGTACTACTTCATTTCAACCACTGATATATGACGTTATTTCCACGAATCACTGAATTTCGTCCTTTGATTTAATGATTATTCTAGAAACTACTAAATTACATAAATAATGGTATTTATTTCGGAAATTGCCAAATTTCATTCTTTGTGATAGCGTTATTGATTCCAAAAATAACTGAAATCCATCTTTGATATAACTATCTTCATTTTGGAGTTATAGATAAAATGAGCTTCATCCTAGAAATTACCGAATCTCATATTTTGTTAATAAAATGTTCACTCCAGAAATTAACGAAGTCTGCCTTTATCATAATAAGATTCATTCTGGAGATTACTAAACTCCACAGTTCGAATGATAACATTCGATACAGAGATTAATGTATTTCACCTTTATTAAGATGAAGCTCATTTCCAATATTATCGAACCCCACATTTTGAATGATAACCTTCGTTACAGAGATTAATGTATTTCACCTTTATTAAGATGAAGCTCATTTCCAATATCATCGAACCCCACATTTTGAATGATAACCTTCGTTACAGAGATTAATGTATTTCACCTTTATTAAAATGGATCTCATTCCCAATATTATCGAACCCCACATTTTGAATGATAACCTTCGTTACAGAGATTAATGTATTTCACCTTTATTAAAATGAAGCTCATTCCGAATATTATCGAACCACACATTTTGAATGATAACCTTTGTTACAGAGATTAATGTATTTCACCTTTATTAAGATGAAGTTCATTCCCAGTATTACTTTGAAAGATAACCTTCGTTTAAAAGATCAATTCATTTCACTTTTATTATAACGATTCTTTATTGCAGATTTCTGAATCATGGTGCTTGATAACATGATCTTTACTTTAGAGCTAACTAAATGCACCATTTTTATCACTTTTTTCGTGACATATATAACGATATCTTGCGATTTTATATGTGATATTACTTTGAAAACGCTATGCGAAAATTATAGCCATTCCATCTCCTCAGAGCTGTTTTTAGAAATAAGTATGTTAACCCCTTGCTAACCCTAGAGGTATACTTGGTACACCCACTATATATATTTCCGGGGACATATGGGAGTACTTTAATCAGGAATTATCTCACCGAATTCTGTGATATGTGATCAATCAAGAAACTATATATATTTTTTTAATTTCTCCTAATTTCACAACTCTTCCTGGAATACATAATGTCTGGTTTCTAAGGGGTTAATACGCGTTCCATTTGTTGAGCTGAAAGTCATGTTTTGACTTTATTTGCAATTCTTAATTGTTTAGTGTATGAATAAATAGAAACAACGTCTGCATTTAATTACTTAATGTGTTTTATATTATCAACCAAACAGTTTAAATATTTACTTGATTCATTATCAAGTTAAGTTTCCTAAAGTTGTTTTCATTATTGGAAACTGTTTAAACTACGTGTATACTGTATTTATTACGATTTCACACATTCGTAATTTCTCGAAATTGTAACATATTTCATGGGAATACTAACTTTACAATTATTGGAAACTGTTTAAACTACGTGTATACTGTATTTATTACGATTTCACACATTCGTAATTTCTCGAAATTGTAACATATTTCATGGGAATACTAACTTTACAATTACTGGAAACTGTTTAAACTACGTGTATACTGTATTTATTACGATTTCACACATTCGTAATTTCTCGAAATTGTAACATATTTCATGGGAATACTAACTTTACAATTATTGGAAACTGTTTAAACTACGTGTATACTGTATTTATTATGATTTCACACATTCGTAATTTCTCGAAATTGTAACATATTTCATGGGAATACTAACTTTACGACATACCTTGAAAACATAGTTGTTGGTAAAGTATTGTCTCGGGTTCCAGTCCAGTTACACCAGCGGGATGAAGCTTTTGAACTAACTTCCTCAGTTGTTCCTTATCTGTCTACCTCGAACGTGCGTGTTTCTTTTAACTTGCCGCCTCTGCCCAATGACTGCCTCTCGGGTGACGTCACATATTACAGTAGCCAATAAACCATATGTTCTACAATTATCTTAAATGGATATTGACCAATCTCTAAGACAACTTGTAATTAACGTTGGTGTTAGTTATTAAAGCATAGCCAAAATTCCAAATACAGTTGATTTCAATTGTAAGTTATGCTTGTAATGCATTATAGTTTGTTATATATAAAGTTAACTTCGTGTACTTTTGTACTTTTATATTTAAAATAGTTTTGTTCCGCTTGAACATGATTTTTTTTTTAAATCTGTCAACGCACAACTGAAATATACTGAATAAATACTGGTTTGTTAACAGATTAGGCTGCTTGTGTTTATCGGATATTGATAGCAAGCGATCCAAACGCTTACGTATTGTGTTGATGGTTAGTGGGTGAGTGAGAGGGTTATTACTGAGCAAATGATTAGATTAGCTTATTAGCTTTAGATAAATGTACATTAATTTTTATAGTATATATATATATATATATATATATCAATTATAAAAATAAAATTTAGGAAATATAAGTTAAAGGTTAGGTTTAAGGAAAAATCTGGGCATTTAAAACATATTTTAGAGCAGTAAAGTCAAAGGTTATGGTGTGGTAAGAGCTAGGATTTTGTCTTCAGTGCATCCCTTATTTTCACGCCTTCGAAATGGCCTTCATTAATAATGGAAATTGCCCAGAGACGTGGGATTCTTTGATTGGATATATCATTCTTAATTATCTGACCACCAAGGTGGATGAAACGATTCGTTTCGTTTCCACTTAATGCTGCAGGACTCTTAGACGGAAATACGTTGTACGTATGTTTGTAGCTTAGACAAGCGAAGATGAATATTGGACTAATTTCGTTATGTGTGAAAATACAGATGATGTTCACTGCAGAAATAATTCCGATACAACAATATTCGTTTACACTAAAATTTCATCTTTAGTTCAGAGAAGACTCTACTACTAAGTTAATCAAAATTACGTGGTCATACCAGATACAGTGTCCTCGTTTGACATCAAAATTACGTGGTCATACCAGATACAGTGTCCTCGTTTGACACCAAATATTTGGATTTTTTGTTTATTTGTTTAGTTACATCTAAAACAAAAAATGTGAAATTGCATATGATTACATACGTTGTGTGTTTCTTCTTCGTTTCAATCAATATTAAACCAGATTTGTTTCGTTAAATACATTTGTCTTTTTCCTAGTAAATTATTTTTCTTTGCTCACGTATTGACTTGAAACTTTTAGTTGCTTTGAAGCAATCATTCAGCTTCATTTGCTTAGTAATAATAATGTCTCCCCCTTTTTTTTCATTAGAAATACTTTATTTTCTACTTGGGCACGAGAATAAAAAGACGATAGCTATAAGCATCGTTACTTCACCAAAAAATTAAAAACAGAGGTGTTTTTAAATAAATTGCTTGTTTTACGGTAAAAATCAAAGTAAAAAGAGTACGTTAAAGGTGCACTAAATCATTGTTAACTACATATTACATTCATTATTTGACATTATTAAGTCTTTTCGTTACTAATTTTGATGTTGATTTCTATATTTGTTATTAATTCCCCTCTCCCTTTAAGCCTAGTTCAAAGTTTCATTCTTAATATGCTTTGTATTTTCAGCTGTGCGGACATTGTGACAGCGATAGTCAATTCGTTATTTGGTTAAGAATATCCACATATTATGCGGCGTGTGTTTCCGACCAGTTTGTCTTTCTCTGATCAGTAGCTCTAAATCAACTATGGCTGTGGCGGAACTTAAGGGACCGTTTGGATTGGAAATGCCAAATACTTTTCTGCTTCAATCTGTATTTTTTAATAGTCAACAGTTTAGATATTCATACGTCAATCAGTGCAATTTTATCCATTGAGAAAATTCCTGTATTTTGTACTTTATACATTATTGATTTATTATGTAGGCGCAATCGCATTCATAATTGGAATATTTACAACTGCCTAAACAATTAAAATGTAACGGGACGACGTTTCGTTCCAAACGTCTGACTTCTTCTTTTTTCTTTCTTTTTTTAGTATTTTTAAATCCTAGCGGACTTACGTACAACAAAAGACATGAGTTTCCAGTGAGCAACTAATTTAATGAGGAAATCTCCGCTGAAGACTCAATGCGACAAATCAGAGGGTTGGATTTAACAAATTCAGAAAAAACAATATTAGAAAAAAATTAAAGGCACACGAATATATTCTAACAAATTGATTAACAAAAATTCAAGTGAATTTTAGTTATAGATTCTTTGAGACATTGACGTTTCTTAAAATATACAGGCCACAAAAGAAACACATGTTAAATAGTTTCCAGAGACGTTCAACAGAAATAACAATATGGCAGAGTTATTTGTTCAGTTTTATGTAGAGCATAATTTAAGTAACAAGTCGTAACTGTGCGAAAACTACTTACTGATATGTATTATTTAGAACAGTACAAGTTTTGGGCTATGGAAAAAAAACAAATTCTAAGTATGCCGTCACCACTTGAGAGTTAGGCGATTTTTCTGACCATAAAGATGTGAGCTTTTGGTAGAACACATTCGAACATTAGGAACTAATTAATGGAAATGCTATCGAGAGACTATTAGAAGATAGTGCCACTTTTGCAGTGATATAAGTAAGATTATCAAGGAATAAAAGAATAGAGACCCATAATGTCGCTGTAGGGCCAATGAGACTCCCAGAAAATGTGTAACTCATAGTAAGGAGTTCATGTTATGGATCCAAAATAGATGTCCAAGGCCTTATTTTGAAGGATGTTTAGTTTCTTAAGCACGTATAAAGGAGGCTGAATTATAAAAAGCTCAGCCATAACCCAATTTTGAACGAATTAAAGAACAATATAATAACAAAAGCGTTTGACAATCAGGTTATCGGCAAGAAGAAACAAAAGGTCAAAGTTAGACTAATAATATAGAGAAAGGAACTAGAATAGATTAAAAGTTTTACTTACCTTGGACAATTAATTACATAAGATGGCACATGTGTAGAAGAGATAAGGAGGAAAGCTTTTT